CATATTTTGTACATTTTAGATATGATTTATTCGGCAAACTTTTGAGCTGACGTCATCAAGTTTTTGGAGGGGATAACCAAATATATTTTGACTAAAGATTTATGATGCTCTTTATAGCCTTAAAACATCTGCAACATTTCAAAACATTCGGGTTAACAGATTCAAAATTAAATTTCAAAATGTTGTTTTATAATTTTGATTTTTTTTCCAAAAATTTGGACATTTCGGGTAAAAACTCAATTCGGAGTCGTAAACTACATGTGTAGGACTATGTTATTTTATACAATTTAAAACCCATTTACTATGTACAATTTTGAAGTGACGTCATCGCATTAGTGGTGGGGATGATTAGACAAATTTTGGTTAGCGTTTTACCATCTACATGATATTCCTAATATAAATACAATATTTCACAACAATCGGTCCAGTACTTTCGGAGATTATCTGTCTAATAAAAATCCGGGACGGCAGACAGACAGACAGACGGACAGACAGACGGAAATGGCAGACCTATTTCTTCGTCTTCTAGGGGTCATGAAAGATCGAGAAAACGTAAAAGTAGAGAGTCGGCCGACGGACTCGATTACAATACTTTGCTTACGCTCGGGAAGTAAAAATTAATAAATGCGTGATTATTTTATTGAGTTAATCAGGAACTACAAAACCGAATGCTTTGAAATCTTGCAGATGTTTTAAGGTTATAAAGAGCATAATAAATGTTTAGTCAAAATATATTTGGTTATCTTCTACAAAAAACTGATGACGTCAGCTCAAAAGTTTTCCGAATAAATCCTATCTAGAATATACAAAATGTGATGAGTCTGTACTTGTAATTTATCATTCCATTCATATTTTTTGAATTTGCATATACCGGGTGACTCAAAAAAAATAATGACATCTACTGCGAAAAAAAAACATAATAGACATGCAGTCGTCACGTTTCCGACAGCGAGGGAAGTACTGTCTAAACTCTTTAGACCAATTTTTCATATGAACTTTAACACACTTTTGACATAAATTAAACGATAATCTAAAGGTCTGCAAAATTTGAATTAATAAGGGCACTCGAACCGCTGTGTTTTCGTTATTAAAAATGTGGAATTCTGGATCTTGAACTTCACCTTCCAAAAATGCGTCCCTTTCTATAATGCATATGTTATACAGGGTGACTGCGAAATATATGCAAATACTTTAACCACGGCATCCCCCACCCTAGTAGAGCCGAAACATAGAATAAATAAATTAAAAATCGAATGGGGCAAAACCCCCATGAACCACCCTCGATACGAAGGCACTGAGCCACCTTGTAAACAGAGTTGGAAAAACGTTCGAATAAAAACGACATAAACACTTTCAGTTTCAATTAAAAGTAAAACCGACTTTTTGCTGCTTATCATTCGTTCATTCATTTACTCATTCATCGTTAAAGGTCAGTGTGAAAGTTTTTTGGTAATTTTGATTCTGACGGATGTTTGGTCCTTGTCACAACGATTTTACATTGTTTATTGGAACAGAAATAAGAGCAACTTAGAATGCTACTATCTATTTACAAGAAATGTTGTCCTTGACTAGCAATACAAGCGTCAGAGCGTCGCAAGAGGTTTGTTGATAGGTAAAAAAACACCGGAGTAGCGGCTGCCACTTTCACTTGTTGAAGCTCTTCGATTATTTCTGGACACTGTTGATTTCCACAAACGAATTGTTTCATCCAACCAATACACGTTTCTCGAAAACCGTCTCTTGAAATCGTACTTGTTGACGACTATGTGGAGTTCCATCGGACAAAAAGTGAGTTACACAACGTGGACAATCAGTGGACTCCAAACCGTGCACTTTGTCAACATGGTATGGTTGTGACCGTGTACTTTTAATGTAGGATGCACTGCAAGCTGCGAAAATCCAATTTCTTCTTTCGGTCCCATCACGACCACGATCGTGAGTTTGAGGTTGAAGGTACCATGATCTCGGAGATGCTGTACCACTGACGTAAATGTTCGCGCACATGGAATCGCGCGATTTGGAAAGCGTTCGATCCACAATTCGCGGGCCAAGCTTGAGTTCCCATCGGCCACCCCATACAGCATTACCATGTCGGCACGCTCTGAATGTGTAAAATTCACCATTGTCAAACACAACCGAACACACCCAGCTACGGCAAGTAACTGATACACGACTGTCCTTATCGTGTTTTTGCACTACTTTCTTGGTTCTTAAACTTCGTCCCTGTGTGCCATTCATTGTAGTAATGATGTAGGTCAAGAAACACTACCAGCGGCGTGTGTAATAATTTATATGTAATTTCAAATAATTTTTTCTCGACACCGCTACCACTTAGGACCGCGAATTTTATACAGTGACATACTCGTATCGTGAGCTATTCCCCATTTTTTTTTGCACATATTTCGCAGTCAGGCTGTATACCACTGCACAAATAACAATAATGTGGAGAGTTGATTGAAATTTCATATTTAATCCTCTAGAAAAACAAGGAAACGTCGCCTCAGCACTCCAAAACACCTCTCAATACAATTTCTACTGGCCTTGGGAGCCGCATTGTATGCTCTCTCCATACGGTTTCGTGGATTCAGCAGTGGTGTCAGTAAATAACTTCGAGATGGGTGACCATTACCACCTAATACGAAGTCTGTTCCATATATGCCAGCAGCTAAATCAGCACACAGGAGCGAGCCATTGAACCTGGTGCTGTCGCGAACGGAACCCGGCCAACGTGCAATAATGTTTATAATTTTTAGTTCTGAATCACAAACTCCTTGAACATTGATTGAGAAGTACCCTTTGCGGTTCCGAAATCGTTCGGCTTGCTCACCTTCTGGAGAGAATGTGGTGAGTGCAATCAAGAGCACCTATTACTTTCGGAAACCCACGAATGTTGTGAAATCCACACTTAACTGAATGTCTTTCTTAGTCAGTTACTGGCACCTTAATGTAACGAAGTTTTAGGGCTGCTAGACATCGTCTAACGTAAGATCAACATCGCTGTAAACCTGCGTACAACTTCAAAATGCAGTACCTCAGGGCTTCCCAAACTGTGCGTCGCGACGCCCTGGACTACAAGAAAAATCGATAGAAATCCTCGATACCTCTTTAAAAATAATGTTTACACAGCACTTGTTATCATTAAGCGAACATTTTTGAAAAATATTTTCCCGATAATCTGCAGCAATATGACTGGGTTAGAAACCCTTTCCAGTCGCCCACACCATCGACACTTTCAACAAAGGAAGAAGAAGAACTAATAGAATTGTCCTGTGATTCCAGCCTAAAGGTTCAATACGACAAGGGCAAACTGTTTGAATTTTGGAGCTCAGTTTCTCATGAATATCGTGCCATCAGCACTGCAGCATTAAAGGTTTTATTACCATTTGCGACTTCCTGCTTGTGCGAAACAGGCTTTTCTGCACTTGCAGTAATAAAGAACAAGTACAGGTCAAAACAGACGTGGAGAAAGAAATGAGACTGGCAATTTCCAAACTGAAGCCCCGGTTTCAGAAGCTATGCTTAGAAAAGCAAGCACATCCTTCTCATTAGCCAACCAGTTAGATAAATATCTCTTTTTATTTTTATGCTTATGTTTTAGGAGTGAAAAGTGGTAGCTAAGTTTGGATGCCTAAGTTTGTATGAGAAGAATATTTCTATTGTAAATTTAAATTTTTACGTGAAACTTTGTATCAATGCTCTCAAACGCAAATAACGAAACCCGTATTTAAGCATTTTCAAAGATTCAGCCAGTCAAATTTAGTGGCTAAAAGTAATGAAACATGTATTTCAGTAGTATCCGAGATTCAACCGATAAGGGAGTGAAAAATGGTGGCGAAGTTTGTATGGAAAAAATATTTATATTGTAAATTTTTGACGTGGAATTTAGTGTTAATGCATAAAGACTTAAAGACACATGTATTTAAGCATTTTCCGAAATTCAACCCCTAAGGGGGTGAAAAGTGAGGGCGAAGTTTGTATGGGAAAAATATTTCTATTGTAAATTTTTACGTGGAACTTGGTATTAAGGCCCTTCAACACAAATAATGAAACACGTATTTCAGATTTTTTCGAGATTCCACTCCTAAGAAGTTGTATGAGAAAAAATATTTTTATGGTATATAAGTCTGACAAAGTTATTGCATCAGGCATTAATTATAAAGGGAAGATATCAACGCTGGCCACAATTTAAAAAAAATGGATTTAAAATAAGCATTTGCAGATGGAAGAAAATGACAGACAATCGGAAATTACTGCAACTTCATGATATAAGAACAAACGGATTGTGTATTTGCAACAATTAAAGGAGTGAATGGAACAAAAACTTCCAATAATTTTTACTCACAACGAATCATATACAGGGTGCCGCATCCAAGTCTGGATATAGGGAATTAACATGGGAATTGGTTTTTATTTTATAATATCTCCCCAGATCACTTTGAAGCTATTATTGAGTGATGCCTTTGTGGGGGTCGAAGAGGGCTATCGGCCAGTATTTTTTTCAAATCGTTGCATCGCGCTCATACACTCTAAAAAGGTTTTAAAAATCGTATTTTGAAATTCGCGCCCGATCCGATTTGTCGCGAAATGTTCCGTCGTACTGTCGAAGTTCGGCGATCGCGTCTTTCCAATAACCATGCAAAATCCAAATGTCAAAGTGAAATTAGAAATTATTCTCATCAATCAACGAACAACTCAAACTGAATTATTTTATCCAGTGTGATGATTATTGTAGGACAAATTAAACGGAATAAATGCACAAATTGATCCATTCATTCGTCATAGTGCGCGACCCCGTCAAACGAGCCATTTCGAACTACACTCAGACCGTATCCAAAAAGCCCGAGATGAAGACTTCGAGCAGCTGGTCTTCCTCAAAACCCCATCAAAGCCCATCGGCTGAACGACTCAAATTGAATTATTTTATCCAATATGACGATTATTGTAGGTCAATTTAAACGGAATAAATGCACAAACCGCACAAAATATGTTATTAGGTTATGTTGCTGGTGCTGGTCGAGTCTTTATTACTAAAATCTCATTAAAATGCCATGTTCTACTGCGATTAGATGAAAAATCGAGGGCCCGCTTTTCTTATTGTGTGATGATAAGATTTACCATCATAACAGCTGGCGCTTTTGAAGAGGACCTTTTAATGAACGATTTAGATAACTACAAATAACAAAACTTAACAATTGTTGATGAATTAAGTAATGAAATATTGTACGAATCTGGAGAAATATTGCACTATTTTCAAGAATTGCTCAAAAACACTGCTCTCAGCAGCTGTACAGTAAGTAAGCCGATCTTCAAAACTCCTACGCGTGTTGATCAGCATTTTAGTTGAAATCTGAAGATAATATTGCTGGATTGCTTGTTTCAGCGCTTCTCTGTTTGTATAGCTTGTCTGAATGCAGATGGTCGTGAAGAAATCTCCAAAGAAAAAATTTCTCAGGGGTTTAGATCTGGCGATTGCACAGGCCAATGGGGCGGTGCAAACTTTCCATTCCAACATTGCGGAAAAATACTGGTTCAAATAAACAACATTTATGCAAGCTGTATGGCTGGAGATTTGGTCCTGGATGTAAAAGACCTGCTGCAGATGCCGCACCCTTCGAGTCCCAGGAAGTATTTGCTGAGCTAGCATATTATCCTACTTCTGAGCATTCAATCCGGATTCGATGAAAAAAGGTGCAATGACATGATGTCCTAGAAACCCCAGTCATACACTGACAATTGCACGCCATTGATAACGAAGGTCATGGACCACGTGAGGGTTGTGTAATGCTCAAATTTGATCGTTCTGACGATTATAACTTCCCTTAAGACCAAATGAACGTCAGTAAAACAAATGTTCCTCAAAAACTCTCCATCAGCCTAGATTCTCTCAAGCGTTCCTTCGTAAAACTCTATATGTGAGAAGTAGTCCTCAGGCTTCAATTTTTTGTCATGATGCTTTTTGAAATTCTTCTATTTCATCTGTTTAAGATCCCTAGAAAACGTCGTGCCCACCTGATTTTATGTAATTTTTATCACCTTTGAAAATAAATGTAACTTTATTTTGCGAAATATTATTTTTATTTTTGTTGTTGTTAACACAATAAACAAATAAAACAGTAATACAAAAGTTTCTGAATCCCAAAACACATTCGTAATAGAGAAAAATACTTTAAAATGTTGATGAGTCAATGTTCTACATTTCTCTCAAAAATTTCCTGTAATGAAGATGCTTCCTGGAGGCAAAAAATCCATCCCTGCTTAGCGAATGTAAAATCAATTGACTTCCAATCTTTAGTGATTCCAAAAAAAAGGGTGAAATTTATCCAAATTACCTACTAATTAAATTAACCGTTGAAGAACATGCCGGCCCCCGCTTTTTCATCTAATCGCAGTAGAACATAGCATAACCTAATAAAATATTTTCTGCAGTTTGTGCATTTATTCCGTTTAAATTGACCTGCAAAAAATCATCACACTGGATAAAATAATTCAGTTTGACTTGTTCGTTGATTTCTGATGAGAATAATTTCTAATTTCGTTTTGACATTTGGATTTTGCATGGTTATTCGAAAGACGCGATCGCCGAACTTCGACAGTACGACGGAACACTTCGCGACAATTCGGATCGGGCGCGAATTTCAAAATACGATTTTTAAAACCTTTTTACAGTGTATGAGCGCGATGCAACGATTTGAAAAAAATACTGGCCGATAGCCCTCTTCGACCCCCACAAAGGCATCACTCAATAATAGCTTCAAAGTGATCTGGGGAGATATTATAAAATAAAAACCAATTGCCATGTTAATTCCCTATATCCAGACTTGGATGCGGCACCCTGTATACATATGTGTACTCTAAATCTAAATATAGTTTTACAAAACCTATATATCTAAAGGACCGCGTCTTATTATGGTTCATGCTAGGGGGAGAAGCGGTTTTATACCAAATGGATTATTAATTTTCAAATCTGGTCAGTTTGACGCAAAAAATCACACATAATATAGGTATCACTTATTATAAATGTTCTTGATAGTAAATCTAGGACTATCACGATGATATAAATCACCAAAATTTCATGAAATGGATTAGAACCCAGTTACTGCGAAATTTGCCTCCACAATCAGTTTTAGTGGTCGACAATGCATCATACCACAAGGTAACCACAAAAAAAAATTCGAATACAGGTACGCGCAAGGGGGGCATGATTGAATGGCTCCGGCAGCGAAATATTTATCATAAGGCCGATATAACCAAGCCTGAATTAAATATATGAAATCATAAAACAGCGTAAGAACAAAAACCTGGTCAAAAACTGGGACGCTGTGAGGAATATTGACTTTAAAATGGCAACCGTTAAACAATTAACAAGTCCACGATTTGAATAAATGACAGCACAAGATGTTTTGTCGTCAACATCGGTGATTCGGATGAAGATGAAGAATTGTGTTCAGAGGACAACGTCACCGATACCGAACAACCCTAGATATCTAATGGAGAAATCAATGGTATTAAATCGTTACTGGAATATTTTATTTAAATTAAATACATATGTACACATAATTTATGCCTTAGTTAAACAATCGATTTCACCTTTCCAGCATAGATTTATGGTATACTTGCTTCCAAAATAAGAGAGTAAAACTACCTGCAAAACTGACTTGACTGGCGCTGTCTCTCAAACTTGGAATAACAGGACCGCACTTACTGTAATTCTGTGTAATTTGTTGTTTGTAAACGTTATGTTTCATAACAATAACTTGAGTTGGAAGTTATCATGTTTACTTAGTGTTAGATATCTAGTATGTTTATATTAGCAATGTTAGATATCTAGTAGGATATATTGACTTACTTTTGTTATGTAAATAAATAGTTACGAGAATTGAATATATAAAATAACACTCCAATTTGTACGGACGATAAATAAAGAGATTTATCCAATACACCGTTTATTATACAAACATAACAAATATTGGCGACGAGGATGCCGAATGAAGCTACGACGAGGATGTCGAATGAAGCTACTCCAAGTAATACTTTCAAAGCTACTTTAAATATTGAACCTTTTCGACCTTCAATGAATTGGCTGAATTGGATTAGAAGATTAAAAGGTGATTTCAAACTTTTTCAAGTTAAAGACGTGGATTACGCTCCGGGATTATTACATTATATTGGACATGAAGCATTTAATGTCATTTGTGACAAATGCTCGCCTGACGATCCGTACAGCAAATCATTTGAGGAAATAATACAAATACTACAAGAATTTTACGCACCGAAACCGTTAGAAATTGCCGAGAATTATCGTTTTCATCAGCGTAACCAAATGGAGGGAGAATCATTACAAGATTACGTTGTGGCGATTCAGAAATTAGCGATAAACTGTAATTTTGGAGAATATTTGAAAACTGCGTTAAGAAATAAGTTCGTTTTCGGTCTAAAAAGTAATAGAATTCGCTGCAGACTATTGGAGATGGACAAATTAACATTTGACGATGCAGTGAAAATAGCCCATGCGATGGAAATGTCAGAAAAAGATGCAAATAAAGAAATACTAAATACGTCAATGAACTATGTTACACTTAGAGAAAAGAAGAAGGGTGGTACGAAACATACGTCTAGAGCTTCTTCTATACTAGAGGAGAGTACGAAGACAAAAAAATTACAATCCATTCAACCGAAGTTTACGTCGCGAAATTCTAATTCCAATATTAAATGTTACAGGTGTGGAGGAAACCATCTAGCTTCAAATTGTCAATTACCTAAAAATACAAAGTGCAGATTTTGTGGGACCCTTGGTCACATCCAAAAAGTTTGTTTTAAGCGAATAAATAATAGTAACGAATTTGGCGCAGTACCAACTCACCAGGTGGAAGCGGAGGAGGAAATAAATCAATTAGACCATACTCACTTTAGAGATAAGTACACAATTTCTTTAAATATTAGTGGGAAATGGATTAAATTTGAAATCGATTCAGGTAGTGCTGTCACAGTTATGTCAAAATTACAATTCAAAAAAATGTTTCCAAATACGACCATTAATAGTACTGTTACAAAATTATTTACTTTCTGTAATACTGAAGTAACGACTGAGGGATACGCAAATGTGATTGTCAACCACAAAAATCAACAATATAATTTGAATATTTATCTTACAGATACAAATAAAATGCCTTTACTTGGTCGAGAGTGGATTAGACAATTACAATTGTTAAAATTAGACACCTTACATACAATTGACGTTCATAAGGAAGAAATAGATTCCCGAGTACAACTTTTGTTAGAAAAATACAATTCAATTACAGAGACAAAATTAGCAAAAATTAGAGGGATACAAGCAAAGTTAACATTAAAATCTAATACGGTTCCAGTTTATATTAAAGCTCGTCCAATTCCATTTAAACTTAAACAGTTAGTAGAAAATGAAATAGATAAGTTAGTTGAGGAAGGAGTTTTGATTAAAGTTAATACATCAGATTGGGCTACACCCATCGTTCCGATTTTAAAAAGTAATAATACCGTTAGAATTTGTGGGGACTTTAAAGTTACATTAAATCCACATTTGATAGTAGATGATCATCCGTTACCTACAACCGATGAATTATTTGCTACTATGGCAGGGGAAAAAAATCACAAAAATTGACTAAAACAAGCTTATTTACAATTAGAACTTAGACCGGAAGACCAACATTTACTTACAATTAACACACACAAAGGACTATTTCAATGTACAAGATTATTGTTTGGTATTGCCAGTGCCCCAGCTATTTGGCAAAGGGAGATGGAAAATATCCTAAATGGCATTCCGGGAGTTTCAGTTTTCCTTGATGATATTAGAATTACTGGTCCTGACGATTTGATCCATTTACAAAGATTAGAAGAAGTATTAAAAAGACTTCATAAATATAATATAAAAATTAACACAGATAAATGTGATTTTTTTAAAAAAGAAATAAATTATTGTGGATATAAGATCGATGCAAAGGGAATACACAAATGTAAAAATAAAATTGATGCTATCGATAACATGCCCAGACCTGCAAATAAAAGTGAATTGCGTTCTTTTATTGGAATGATTAATTATTATGGAAAATTTATAAAAAACTTAAGTACAATTTTATACCCTTTAAATCAATTATTACGAGAAAATGTTTCATTCACGTGGTCAAAAGAATGTGAAGAAGCATATTTATTAGCAAAGGAAGAATTTAAATCCGATACAATTTTAGCACATTACGATTCTAATTTACCACTTACAGTGGCTACAGATGCAAGTTCATATGGTGTAGGAGCTGTACTTTCACAAATACAGCCAGATGGTTCAGAAAGAGTTATACAGTACGCATCTCAAACACTAAACGATACACAAAAAAAAATATTCACAAATCGATAAAGAAGCTTACGGTATAATATTTGCAATAAAAAAATTTCATCAATACTTATACGGAAATAAATTCATATTAATTACAGATCATCAACCATTAGTACAAATTTTCTCTCCAACCAAACCTTTACCAATTTACAGCGCAATGAGAATGCAACATTACGCCTTATTCCTACAAGGATTTAATTGCGATATTAAATACAGAAATACAAAAAATCATTCAAATGCTGATTGCCTTTCAAGACTTCCACAATCACATACGCGAGAATTACAATTTGATGTAGTAGATGTTTTTCAAATACAAACGATAGAGACGTTACCAGTAAATATCGCTGAACTACAAAAAGAATCAGTGAGGGATAAGGAATTAAGTACAGTGATAAATAAATTACAAAAAGGTGAGCTAAAAGAATCTATGTTATTTAATATAGACATAAAAGAATTTAGTGTACAACAAAATATTTTATTACGAGGACACCGAGTAGTTTTACCAAAGACACTACGAAATCGCGTGTTACAAGAATTACATTTGGGGCATTTTGGCATCGTGAAAACGAAGGCCTTAGCTCGCAGTTATTGTTGGTGGCCAAATATCGATCGCGATATTGAGAATCTTATTAAAAACTGTAACGCTTGTCAACAAGTTCGTAATAACCCAAAAAAAGTAGAAAATCACATTTGGGAACCG